CACTATTAAGGAGAGGGGACAATAAAAGAACAAGAATTAAGAAGACAGAAGATAATGATTGACATTGCATTTAAATTTTTGAATATCAAATTGAGAATATGAGAAAAAGAAAACATTATTAAGCAGAGAGGACAATAAAAGAACAAGAATTAAGAAGACAGAAGATAATGATTGACATTGCATTTAAATTTTTGAAGATGAAATTGAGAATATGAGAAAAAGAAAACACTATTAAGGAGAGGGGACAATAAAAGAACAAGAATTAAGAAGACAGAAGATAATGATTGACATTGCATTTAAATTTTTGAATATCAAATTGAGAATATGAGAAAAAGAAAACATTATTAAGCAGAGAGGACAATAAAAGAACAAGAATTAAGAAGACAGAAGATAATGATTGACATTGCATTTAAATTTTTGAATATCAAATTGAGAATATGAGAAAAAGTAAACACTATTAAGGAGAGAGGACAATAAAAGAACAAGAATTAAGAAGACAGAAGATAATGATTGACATTGCATTTAAATTTTTGAATATCAAATTGAGAATATGAGAAAAAGAAAACATTATTAAGCAGAGAGGACAATAAAAGAACAAGAATTAAGAAGACAGAAGATCACGATTGACATTGCATTTACCAGAGTGAAAAGTTCATCTGAATAATTACCATGAAAATTATTTATAGAAATGGCGCAGGAAAGCTACATTATAGCAGTAGAAAAGCAACTGAAGGTTAGATGCTAGGTCATGACCAATAATATTGCTGATTCTTCTTTTGATTTTATCAAGACTCTCTAAATATATTGCAGGAGTAATGGACCACATGTGGCAGCAGTATTTAAAGCATGGCCAAATGGTAGACTTATAAATAATACACAAAATAGATTCAGGAGGAAAAATTGTCTGGTATGATACAATTGATCAATGGATAGCTTCAGAATAGTCTTTCCACTTCATGTTATCTTGAGAAGGTACAATGACTCACTTTCCTGGAGGTTAGCATTAGCTATGATGATGAAAGACAGGAAGAAGTCTTTTGCCATATAAGGAGAATTTTTTTTAATTGTTCATCCACAATAACCCTCATAATCATGGAGTATGTACAAAGTTAGACAGGTACTTTACAAATCTAATCAAATAAGAAGCCTGAACACTGTCAAATGCAGTAATTAACTCTCAGTGCTTAATCTCTGAAATTATGGAAAATAATATGAATTATTTTTAACTTAATGTCTACCATTTCTGTAATTCATCATATTTCAATTTGCAGTAATTTTGGGACAATTCTGTTGAAAAACTTTGGCTGTTTAAAATGCCTTGGATATTGGTTTAAAGTTAAAAAGAAAAACCTTGCTGAAAATTATTCTATATATGACTCATGTGTAAGAGTTAATTTGCCATATAAATAGATTTTTAATTTGTTTATTGCCAAAGACATCTTTGTAATCAGTCTGTACAAAGTTGGACAGGTCCTTTAGAAATCTTATCAAATTAGAAACCAATACACTGTCAAATACAGAAATTAACTCTCAGTGCTTCATCAACAAATTAATCGAAATTAATATGACTTATTTTGATCTTAATGTTCACCATTTCTGTAATTCTTTGTATTTCAATTTGCTGAATTTTGGAATAGGCAATGAGGGGAAACATTTCGTATGCAGCAATTCTCAACCTCACAAGCCTTGCATATTGGTTTAAAGCTAAAATATATCTGACTGAAATTGACTCATGTGTAGGAGTTGATTTACTGCATAAGGAGATTTTTAATTTATTCATCCACAAAGATCTCCTTGTAATCATGGAGGGTTTATTTGTCTGTACAAAGTTGGACAGGTTCTTTATAAAGCTAATCAAAAAAGAAACCCTTACTAAAATGGCAAGTACGATGATATTCTTTGAAATGAAATGTTATTAATGTGGCTTTAAAAAAAATGGTGCCCACTTAACGAAGCAGAATGATTGTACCATTAGATGACGATCCGGAAAGAGAAGTTCCATGCATGGAAATGGTAAATGCATGTCGACACAGTCAGGGAAGAATGCATGTAGCTTTTCACAATAATAATAATTGCAAAAGAACGAAAAAGACTTTTATGAAAATTCTATCATTCTTTTTTGTTCAGTTTGGAATATGCAGGAAAGTCAGTGATTGAGTGAATAGCCTGGCTGACTTTCTTTCCAATTGTCACTGCATCGCTTAAAGTATTGAACCTTCTACGCTTTCTTTTCCTTATTCTTATTTTTTATAATTCTTCAGATGAAGACTATTTATTCGAAAACTAGATTCACCGAAACCTTTAAAGGGAATATTTCCTCTGGCGAATGGTTCACTTCACCAACATTTCAAAACGTAGAAAATTAAAGGGAGATAACTTCAATACATTAATAGTGCTTTCCTTAAAAATTACATTGTAGATCTCTCTTCTGGCTCCATGCTTTCCAACCAACTTTGATCTTTGAAAATTTAAATGCAATGTCAACTATTTTCTAGTCTTCTTGATTACACTTTTATTGTCGTTATGCCATGACCTTTATCACTCTGCATGTGACTTCATTTGCTGTACAAAGAGTTTATCCTGCCACTGAAGGTGACTTTGATCCCTGAATTTGTTTGAATTTCATAGTTGTGTTGTCATATCCTGGCATGGCAACAGAAAACACCTTTGAGTGAAATTAACAATAAGTTTACTGCGATTGAGAGACCTTGAATAAAAAGAATGCAACGGAAATGGAAATAATATTAAAAATGTAGTGTGCTAAAGCTTAATAATGTTTCTCTGTTTTTTTATTCTTTCACACCCAATAACCCCACCTTGCATCTTAGTGGCTTTATTGCCTTGCATGGGGTGAAATGATTAAAAAAAATTTCTTTGTAGTAGTTATATTTTTTTGATGCACCATTTTTATGGTCAATAATGTTTCTTTCCTTATCCTTGGTTTTCCTCTCTTGTTTTAGATTTTTTTGTGTATATATATATATATATATATATATATAACTTTTTCATATAGAGAAAAAAATTATAATAAATAATTATTTCTTTACTATCGGTATTGAGCCCTCTTTTGAATTAATGCTGTGAACGTTAGAATTTATATATTATTTTCATTCTCATTACATTCAGATATATATATATATATATATATATACACACACACACACACACTATTTCTATACTTTTGTATATCTATATAATACTAAAATTTTGTGATTCCTTGCGTGCTGCTTCTGTCTGGTGCATAATTATTTAAGTTAATCTGATTTAAGTGAATAAGATTTAAAAATACTAGTTGTTTATAGAGTAAGTATTTTTATTTTAACTTTCATCAAAGAGACAATTTTTTTTTTAATTAAAATATTTTTAAGTTAAAGACAGGCACAAAGAGATCCTGCTTTGTTGTTTCGTCCAATTGTTTGTAGAGTAATTATTTATATTTCAGCTTTCTTTAAACAAACAATATTTTAAATATCTAATAAATATTTATTGGCATATTTAAAAAATATTTTCAAGTGAATATCATTTTAAAATATGTTTTGGTATATTAAAAAAATATTTTAAATTTAATCTTATTAAAAGTTAATCTGATTTAAAGTTCAAGATTATCCTGGAAGTTCTGTTCCTATTAAATGCTGTAAACAATCAGTAAAATGATAAATATGAACTTGTAAACCAAACCAATGATGATATGAATGAACTGAAATATTTAACTGAATCATAATAAAATTAATCTTCATTTTAATGCAGTGTTGAAATCATCTTCATTGTTTTATAACCTGAACCGTGAATGCCCCAACGGGTAGTCTAGTTCAATACTAAAATTAAGGTTTTGGTTTTATAAACTTTGAACTGCCAAATAAATTAATACAAAAGAAATTTGCTCTAATTTCTTTTTGGAGTCATAATCACTAATTTAAAAATATGACTTGTTTATACAGTATTTTTATAAGTATTTTATTTTAACTTTTTTCAAACAGACAATCATTTAGTTAAAATATTTTTAAGTTAAAGACAGACACAAAGAGATCCCGCTTTGCTGTTTTGTTCAGTTGTTTGTAGAGTAATTATTTATATTTCAGCTTTCTTTAAACAAACGATATTTTAAATATTTAAAAAAAAACTTTTAGCATATTAAGAAATATTTTTAATTTAATCTGATTTACAATTCAAGTTTATCCCCAAAATTGTATTCCTATTAAATGCAGTAAACAAACAGTAAAACATTGAACATGAACTTGCAAAATAGACCAACAATGACATGAATAAATTGAAATATTTAACTGAATCATAATAAAATTAACTTTCATTTCAATAGAATGTTGAAATCAACTTCAATGTTTTATGACGTGAACTCTCAGTGACACAATTGGTCACAGGTAGTCTAGTAGAAATATAATAATACTCTTATGTTTATAAAAGTTCTGTATATACAATATTCTCAGCATGACATCTATTTTCTAAATGTATTTTTGTCATTAAGCTAAATTCATTTAAATTTCCTACTCTAGACATAGCTCCACGGAGCTGACCATGATAGAAACATTTGGATTAATGACTTGGTTTTCCCAAAAGATCTGGTTAGGGTGTTCTTTAAGCCTATAAATATGGAAATCATATTCTCTCTCTTTCTCTTGTTAGCTCTGACTTTGTGTAGTCAACACTTTGATAAAGAATGCTGGCAAGTAGGCATGTTCTCTTCCTTGGTCCTCTCTTGAATTTTGAACTCGCTTACACACGTGTATATCACTTATGCTTCAATGTTTTATAACCTAAACCGTTAGTCACTCAACAGGTCACAGATAGTCTAGTATTTAAATATAGATCTCCTGGCAGTCTTAGAACTTCTTACACAACAGAGTGTCAATAGGATGTTTTTTCTTTAACACCGCCATTATTTTAACTACCTTCACTCCTCGCCAACGTTTATTGTTTTAAATGAGATTTTTAGCATTAATTCCACAGTAATGTGAAACCATTATTTATTTGGCTTCAATTTCCAGTGAAAATGTACAAGTGCGATTCAATGGCTGATACTTGCGGACTCTGCTTGACCATGGACGAAATCTATAACTGTGGCTGGTGTGAAAATAAATGCAGCATCAAATCTCAATGCGATGCCCTATTCAAATGGTTCCCAAATACGGAGATTTGCCGTGGAGTAAGAATAACAAATGTGAGTATATTTTCCTTGGTTTCTATTTAGGGGGGATGTGGTCTATTGTTAGATTTTACACAAGGGTTGGATAAGATTCTTTTTCTCTTTTTTTTTTTTTTTTTGTTTTTTCGAAGGGCCACAACTTCTTTCATCTTTTAAATTTAAATTAAATGTTTTTCAACAGGTGAAAAAGCAAAATAATCATTTTGCTTATTTACACTATTTACATTGTTCAGACCTCATCTTTGTTGCCATATTCATGGCATTTCGGCCATTGTTCACTTTTCAAACTGAACCCTTTATTTTGTCCACTGGGTAGATTATTCAAGTTCCCCAGGTCATCCCTATTTGGATGTCTTAGTATCAGTTATCTCCCTTTAATTCAACTCTCCAAATTTTTATTGGCAACAGTTTGGGTCAAGTCTCTGGATCCAGCCAATACTTTTATTCACTGGGTCGTATGTCCTTGAAAACATCAGTGTATGAATTTTGGGAAATTATTACTGATAGAATAGGACTATTATCTGTAAAATGTAAATGCATTTGTAAATCATTATTCTTTATTATTTGTCTTAGAAACCATTATTTTTTTTTTTTTAACAGAGCTCATATTGCAATTTTGTTGTTATTATTGTTTTTCTCTAGCACTGTTTCCCATATTGTATTCGTTCAGAGTGATTTGCGAAGAAAACTTAATGTAAAGGTAATCATTGTGAAGGTGATTTCTGTAAACACACAGGAACATACTCTGTTAGAATTGTTTTAAATTTATACATTGTAGTTAAGGTAATTTTTGGCATGTATCCCATTATATATTTTTTTGCATTCTGAAATTACCGAGAACTGCATTTTTTTTTTCAAAAGATCTCATTAAATGACCAAAAGAAAAGTTCATTATTTTATTTATATATATATGTTGCTGGTGGTAATAAAGCAGTGCGTGATGTAATAAAACAGTGCTATTAATTATATATATATATATATATATATTTTACGTGTGTGTGTGTATGTGTGTGTGTGTGTATATATATATATATATTTTACATGTCTGTGTGTGTGTATGTATATATATATATATATATATATATATATATATATATATAGAAGGACAACTCTGAATTCAAAACCTGAGGGTCGTTTGGGAACCTTGTGGCATTCGTGCACCAGGTCTCTGTATTCATCCTTTAAAAGTGTGGATGGTCCTGCATGGAAGCCTTCACCACTATAATCAAATCTCATGTGCCGGTGTCGGGCTGTCGGTTTCCTGGAAACTGAGCTGCTTGACCTTCATACGTCGAATCTCAAAGGGAGTTGATTTTATATTTTATATATATATATATATATATATATATATATATATATATATATATATATAAAGCCCATGTTTTTATAAAATGCTAAATATAACATTTAAAATTTAAAAAAACTGTAATACCAGATATTTTTAAAATTTGAATTACATTACAGTCTGTCTGTACTCAGCACCTGAAGATTGCATTGTGCATGGAACACCCAGTCATGCTATAAGTTAATGATATATATATATATATATATATAGTTAAAACCTTTACATGTTATTTTTACCTTTATTTTATTTTTTCACATGTGTATTGAGTACATTTTAATACTACTGTTTCTCAGTTTGAATCAACTCTGATCATTAACCTTTTATATATATATATATATATACATATAAATATAGATAACTAGACTCGTTTCGTAAAACCCTCGAATTTTTGATTTGCTAATCAAATCAATCTCGAGGGAAAAAAAGGTTTTAAAAAAAAAAGAGCTACAAACATGGACTTCTGCCGACAAAAAATCAAGACAGATGCAGGTCTGAAGCCCAAAGAAAAAAACCCCCTGATACAGTAATAACTAATAAAAAGAGCTCAATACAAACCGTGAGAGCAGACCTAGATACACCTAGTGAGCCAGACAAACCTACCTAGGTTTCACCTAAATGGATGGATCGGGATATATATATATGTGTGTGTGATATTTTTTTGGCAGATAAAATTTTCCAGTAAAAAAAAAAAATATAAAAAGATGAGAAACAAAAAACGGATAACTTTAAGATTGTAATTTTTCATAAATCTAAGATACCCAAATATATATATATATATATATATATATATATATATATGAACTTTGTGTGTGTTATTTTCCCTTTTTCTTCATTTCACTCTGCCAATAAATAAGTTGCCGTTGTTTGTCATAAATCAAGTTTTATTTGCTTATTTTAATCCTGGCTTTTTCACCTTTGCTCAGAACAATGAATTGGCAGACATTTGTACAAATCCTCATATATTTACTCCTCCACCATAACCAGTACGTGCTGTAAATTTCAATTCTTTTTAATATGTAGTTGATATTGATGTTTGACACCCACTACAGCCCTGTCATAAAGGTCATATTACGAGGGCTCATCTTAAGATTTGGAAATGACAATGTTGATGAAGAAGAACATTCTTTGCAACTATATTTGTTAATTATTGACCCCCACAATCCATTTGATGGTTGAGGACATATATCCTCCTCAAGAAGCATGGTGGAGTAAAGTTTAGTGGCTCGAATTCAGAGTCAAGTTTATGACATTCACTTACATGCTAATACCCTTGGGAAAGGTATGAACTTAACTCTTCTCCCCCCAGCTATGGATAAATAGTCAGACTGGGTTGAGAAATTGAAGAGCTGTGTTTGAATTCCAGTTGAGTTCATTGCATTTACACTATTTACATTATTTGGACTTTTCAGCCGTTGTATGCTCTGTCCATCTTCACTGAACCCTTTATTTCGCTAGCTGGGGTAGACTGTTCTAGTTCCATGTGCCATGTCTAATGGATATCAGTTATCTTCTGTTAATTCACCTCTCCAAGTTCTCCACTGCCTTAACCAGGTATTGAAGTCACAACTCTTTGGGTGCTGTTACTGGATCTCACTAAGGCATTTATCCACTGTGCCATGTTACACTTACTTATGCTTGAGAAATATATTAATCTCTATAGCCATGGTTGGCAACTGGCCTAGGAGAAGGACAACACTGAATTCAAAAACCGTACATAGCTCTGGTGAAGCATATACCATGCAGCTAATACCCTTGAGAAATATATTAATCCCTATAGCCATGTTTGGCAACTGGCCTAGGAGAAGGACAACACTGACTTCAAAAACTGTACGTAGTCCTGGTGAAGCATATACCATGCAGCTAAGGAAAAGATGATGGAATTTGCATCAACTTGATGATACTGATGATGATCGACCAAATAAAAAGAAAATGTAAATATATATTTTTCTTTTCAGCTGTACAAGAGATGCTTCAAATGTTGTGTGCCTAACTGCATTGGAAGGATTTTATATCTCGCTCAATCCAAAATTGTTTTTCTGCTCTCTGTAATCCATTGTAATTTCCATAGAGATAAATAGGAGGTATTCTTTTCAGAGCCCCACTCACATTTTATTCTTATTCATAATTTCCATTGTTATCTTCTTTTTACAGTTCATACCATCAAAAGGCCCAGTTGAAGGAGGAACTCTTCTGACGATAAAGGGAGAAAATTTGGGAAAAACTTTCCTGGACATTAAAAGGGGTGTCACCGTTGCAGGTGCCCATTGTGAACCTATTGAATCCCAATATGTACCTGCTCAAAAGTAAGTATCTTCATTTCAAGAAGAAAGGGATTGTCAGTGGTCAGGAATGAAGGCAAGCATTACTGATAGAATAGGGCTATTATATATATGATGTAAATGCATTGCTAATATTTTTACTATAGGAATGAATTGAAAATGAGGAAGAAAAGGATTGTCAGTGGTCAGGAATTAATGAAAGCATGACTGATAAAATAGGGCTATTACATGGATAATGGAAATGCATTGTTAATGCTTTTACTATAGAAATGCATTGAAAAACAGGAAGAAAGGGATTGTCAGTGGTCAGGAATTAATGAAAGCATTACTGATAGAATAGGGCTATTATATGTATAATGGAAATGCATTGCTAATGATTTTACTATAGGAATTCATTGAAAATCAGGAAGAAAGGGATTGTCAGTGGTCAGGAATGAAGGCAAGCATTACTGATAAAATAGGGCTATTATATGGATAATGGAAATGCATTGTTAATGCTTTTACTATAGAAATGCATTGAAAATCAGGAAGAAAGGGATTGTCAGTGGTCAGGAATTAATGAAAGCATTACTGATAAAATAGGGCTATTATATGTATAATGGAAATGCATTGCTAATGATTTTACTATAGGAATGCATTGAAAATCAGGAAGAAAGGGATTGTCAGTGGTCAGGAATTAATGAAAGCATTACTGATAGAATAGGGCTATTATATGTATAATGGAAATGCATTGCTAATGATTTTACTATAGTAATTCATTGAAAATCAGGAAGAAAGGGATTGTCAGTGGTCAGGAATGAAGGCAAGCATTACTGATAGAATAGGGCTATTATATGTATAATGGAAATGCATTGTTAATGATTTTACTATAGGAATGCATTGAAAATCAGGAAGAAAGGGATTGTCAGTGGTCAGGAATTAATGAAAGCATTACTGATAGAATAGGGCTATTATATGTATAATGGAAATGCGTTGCTAATGATTTTACTATAGGAATGCATTGAAAATCAGGAAGAAAGGGATTGTCAGTGGTCAGGAATTAATGAAAGCATTACTGATAGAATAGGGCTATTATATTTATGTCAATGCATTTGTAAATCGTTATTCATCATTATTTCTATTTTGTTATTAGTTTTCTTCTATCTTATTGCCTCTCATTATAATCTCTGAATTCACATCGTACTACAAGTCATTTTTATCCCACATAATGTCAGGTTGCCTTGCTTGTTTGTAATAAATTGTGATTATGCTGCTGTTTGTAAATTGTTGAACGTTTTCTGAAACATAAAAGTCAAATTAATTCCTACTTTCTCCAGGCTTTCCCGTAATTATTAAATTCAACCTCGTTGATTTTTCAAACCAATTAAAAACTAAAATTAATTGTCAGGAGGACTCCAAACTTGATTATATGGCTGATTTTTATGGCAATAAAAAAAAAATGTTTCTCTTTGACAAAGAGAAAAACAAAGCCAAGTTTAATACCTTCAAGCAGCCCTAATCTTTCCTGTGATCATTGATTAATGGTCAATTAAATGGTTTGTTAATTATTTTTGATTCAAATGAACAGAATTCTCGTTAGCCTCGTCATATTTCATCTATTTTGTACCCCCTCCTCATCTGTTGCTATTGTAGATTTTCTGAACACTTGGGAAATGAATTTTTGAATATTGGATAATGTAAAATAAACATTTTTTTTTTAAATCTCAAATATGTGGTTCTTTCATTTTCCAAATAATAAATAAAAAATTTTTCAAGCCAACATAAGATATCTACGTAATTTACTACCTTAAAGATATAGATATATAGCAAAACATAACACGTAGAATAGTATAAAATTATGTACAAAGCGTCTGTAGTTGAAAGCATAAAATTGTGTTAAAAATATTTAGATTTTGGAATGAAATAACCTATAGAGGTGTTGATATGCTGGAAAAAAAACTGGAACAAAACTGCTGTTATCAATAAGAAGAGTTGAAATTAATGCATACAAGATTTCACAGTTCTAGCATCACTCATTCATAGTCAGCCTGTGAACTTTTCAGCCCACCCTCGCTCCTAGAAAGACACAATGCAGTTATTAATAAGAAGAATTGAAATTAATGCATGCAAGATTTCACAGTTCTAGCATCACTCATTCATAGTCAGCCTGTGAACTTTTCAGCCCACCCTCGCTCCTAGAAAGACACAATGCAGTTATTAATAAGAAGAATTGAAATTAATGCATGCAAGATTTCACAGTTCTAGCAGCACTCCTTCATAATCAGCCTATGTAGTTTTCAGCCCATCACCATGTGTGTGTATATATATATATATATATATATATATATATATATATATATATATATATATATGTGTGTATATATATATATATACACACACACATCATGGTGGGCTGAAAATAGATATACATATTCACCTACATAATTATATATTTTGTTATTATTTCAGAATTGTATGTCGAACTGGCAGTAGCAGTATTAGAGCTGGATATGTTCGAGTTGTAGTAGCTAGTATAACTTCCGCCAAATCGGATTTCAATTATGAGTATGTGGTAAGTGAAAATAAGATATTTTATTTGCTTGTATATTTTCATACAACTTTCTTTTCCTTTTTTCTTTATTCAATGAAACGGATATTTTCTCTTTTAATTATTTCCATCTAACAAAAGGATTTTCCATTTTTACAGACATTTACTCCAACACTTATAAAATGTCCACATTTAAAACCTATCTAGTACTTTGTAATCATTATTATTATTATTATTATTATTATTGTTGTTGTTTTGTGTGGTATCATCTCACCAAAGAGTATTGCTTGCCAAATGAGAGGACATTGTGGAGAGCCATGACTGGTAACATCCTGAAGGATTAGGACACATTGAACGAGAAGAATGAGCTTGAATAAATGGATGGTGGAACAAGTTTTAGGAGAGATAACAAAAAGATAAAATTAAGAGCTAAAAAGGACAGGAAATTGTGGAGAGCCATGACCGCTCACATCCTGAAGCATCAGGACACATTAAAGAAGAAGAATGAGTTTGAGTAAATGGATGGTGAATAAAGAATTGAAAAGATACATATTCACTATGTTTGTATTTTATAATACGATATTAAATGTGAATCATGCATTATTATTGGATACAGTTAAGTAAAATATCAGTTTTATCAAAATCATGTTTATTTTAAATACAGCTGTGCTTTTTGATGACAGTAAATGGATACATAGTTTGGTCAATAATGTAGCCAGCAGTACATAGGCTAATTTTAAATCTCATGTATGATGTGACCCTCTTAAAATTAGCTTCAAAATAACGTCTTCAGAAGTCGCATGATACGCGAGTATATACGGTATATATAACAAACCTACCTACAAGAATATTTTTTGGAAGTTACTTAAATCCAGTCCAGATTATAGAATTAGATAGCATATATAGTGGTCAAGAAATGGGGGATTAGTTTAATACTAAAGAGCAATACAAAACTGATCCCTCACTTTCTAACATCTTTTCATTTCATTACCTATCAGGATGTTTGGGAATTTCATCTATGAATCTACTATGGCCAAGAAATGGGGGATGAGTTTAATACTAAAGAACAATACAAAACTTATCCCCCACTTTTTATCGTTACTTCCTCTGATTATCTATATGGTTTTTTTAGTTACCATATATATTGTGACTTTGAAGACCTAATTTTGCAGCTAATTTAGTAAATCGATATATATTTTGGTCAACGGCATAGCCAGGGCCAACAGTACATATGCTAATTTTATATCTCATGTATGATGTGACCCCCTTAAAATTAGCATCAAAATTAAGTGGTTGGAATTCTGCTCGCTGGGGTAGACTGTTCTAGTTCCACATGCCATATCTTAATGAATATCAGTTATCTCCTGTTAATTCCCCTTAACCAGGTATAGAACTCACACTCTTTGGGTCCTGTCACTGGATCTCACTAGCACCTTTATCCAATGTGCTATGTGTCCTTAAGGACATCAGTGTATTAATTTCTGGGAATTATAAACTTCAATCTTCAGTAACCTTTTTTTGCCAGTGCTCATATAGCAATTTTTGCCGTTATTACTTCATCTTTTTTTATCAGAGCTCATATTGCAATTTTCTTCGGTTTTTCTCTGGCACTCCTTATTACTTGTTCCCATATTGTATTCATTTCTATGTTTGGTTGGCTCAGGAGATGTTTGTAGCCAAGCATATGTGCTGATTCCTTAAGTTTCCGAATTTTCCAATGATGTTCTTTGTCTACGATTTCAACCTGATCCCACAGATGGTGGTGATCTCCCATTTCTCTCCATATATGGTCAGCCATGCCTGATTTTTCCATTTCCCTTTGTGTTACAGATTTTTGGTATTCTTGATTTTTGGTGCTCTGTGCTCTAATAAATTTTTATTTCTGATTTTTTAGGTACCGGGTATTACTGACCTTCATCCCAGGAGAGGTCCTGTTGATGGGGGCACTTATGTGACAGTGAAGGGGACCCACCTTGATGCTGGGTATAAAAAGTCCATCACAATCGCAGGCTTACCATGTGAGATTAAAAGGTAGGTTTGTTTTTTCCTTTACATTTTTTTATCTTTTTTTTAATTTTTTTTAAGACATATGGTGTCTGGAATAAAAAATACAGAAGACCCCTTTTTTTGTACAGGTGGATTTTTTGAATGCACATCCGCAACCATTGATTGATAATGTTTATATATTTTAAACCCGTTCCCCGGAATGGACATGTATACTTTTTTACCAAACTTGGTTGAATTCATTGCTAGGTCAGCTGCTAAGAAGGTCAGTTCATTGTGTCGAGCAAGACCAATTTTCTCTCTGGAATCTGTCTTACATGTCTCTGAGTCTACCATTCGCCCATGCTTACAATATTGCTGCCACATATGGTCTGATTCCCCTGCTATTTACCTTGAGATCTTTGATAAAATCCAAAGAAGAGTCAGCAATATTATGGGTCCTGATCTGGCATCTTGGCTTCAGTTACTTTCCCTACCACTGTAAGGTTCCCTCCCTGTGCCTTTTCTATAAATATTTTCAGGGTAATTGTTCAAATGAGCTCTTCACTATGGTACCTAGACTCTATGAATTTAAATGAGTGCTAGACTGGAGTTGAGATCTCATCAATTTACTGTTGAGCTAGCTAAATGTAGCTGTGAATTCTATGCTAAAAGTTTCTTTTCTCACACTTCTCACTTGTGGAACTCCCTTCTGGCTTCAAGCTTTCCAGCCAACTTTAATTTTCAAATATTTAAATGCAATGTCAATCGCTATCTAATGTCTTCCTGATTACTCTTTCTGCTTCTCTCTCATTATTATGTTTTTGTTCCTAATCTTCCACACCCGCTAACCCTTTGTGTCTTAGTGGCTTTACTGCCTTGCTAAGAGTGATACCAATTAAAAAAAGAATTGTCTTTTTCAGACACTGATGAATAAACATGTCCAAAACATAATGTTAAAAAATCAGCTACTGATGTGTTCATACATAGATCTTGATTCTTTTTATGCCCTTCTGAGCTTGAAACGTGTCCAATTGTCAGCTCATACATTTGGTAGAGGTGTTCTCCACCGCTCGGGTACTTGAAGGTACCTCTGTTCTTAGTTGACCTTGATTCATTTTATGCCCTTCTGAGCTTGAAACATGTCCAATTGTCAGCTCATACATCTGGTAGAGGTTTTCTCCACTGCTCGGGTACTTGAAGGTACCTCTGTTCTTAGTTGACCTTGACTCATTTTATGCCCTTCTGAGCTTGAAACGTGTCCAATTGTCAGCTCATACATCTGGTAGAGGTGTTCTCCACCGCTTGGGTACTTGAAGGTACCTCTGTTCTTAGTTGACCTTGATTCATTTTATGCCCTTCTGAGCTTGAAACGTGTCCAATTGTCAGCTCATACATCTGGTAGAGGTGTTCTCCACCGCTCGGGTACTTGAAGGTACCTCTGTTCTTAGTTGACCTTGATTCATTTTATGCCCTTCTGAGCTTGAAACGTGTCCAATTGTCAGCTCATACATCTGGTAGAGGTGTTCTCCACCACTCAGGTACTTGAAGGTACCTCTGTTCTTAGTTGACCTTGATTCATTTTATGCCCTTCTGAGCTTGAAACGTGTCCAATTGTCAGCTCATACATCTGGTAGAGGTGTTCTCCGCCGCTCGGGTACTTGAAGGTACCTCTGTTCTTAGTTGACCTTGATTCATTTTATGCTCTTCTGAGCTTGAAACAAGTCCAGTTGTCAACCCATACATCTGGTGGAGGTGTTAGCCTTCACTCGGGTACTTCAAGGTGCCTTAGTTTCTAAGTTACTATATTAAAAACAAATAAAAAATTTGACTAAAAATGAAACTTTTTTTCCCAAAATAATTTGCAGGGAAGGGGTTAAATGAAAAATAAATGGATATATGGTAATTGTCATCATAATATTAGCTGTTTCCTTATAAGGAAACATTCAGTATCCATTGACCTAGTAGCCAGTATGCAATGTCAAGTCTTTCTGCATGGTAATAAACAACTGGAAGTCATATGATATTGTTTCTTTTCCACCATTCCAAATTATATGTAACCTGGACTTTAAAGCATTTTTGAACAACACTGGTAATGTTAATATTAGCCGTTTTCACATAAAGAAATATTTGGCACTCATTGTCCTAGAAGCCAGTGCTACAAGAGTTATGCTTTCCTTCACTCTCTGTCCATCAAGCTGGGATCAAAGTGTAGAATCTGTTCTCCTCACTTCAAATGATAATGTTAATATTAGCCATTTCCATAGAAGGAAACATTTGGCATTCATTGACCTAGTTGCATTTTGGAGGCATTAAAATTAACAAGCCATTCCTTGCTCCTATTAATAACAGAATGTAGGACATTTTTTATGTCAGTTGCTGATTTGATCTCATCAAATTGATCATACTGCTATGACAATTCTTCTTTTGTGGGGATAAAAACCATTGTAGGACTTCTTTATTCCGACCTCCCCATTTAATAAAAATTCAGGAAACTTACTCCCATTCCTTAATTAAGGCTATAGCTTTATAGAACAAATTGTTTCTTTACTGAAAATTATGAATTATTTGTATTTCAACCACCATATCTATTTGAAACCGAGATCTATCTTATATGAATATACAAGTTCTGACTCGTACTTGTAAAATCTATAATATTGTCTTGGACATGGATATTTTTGGATGTTCTTAAGTTACCATTGCTGTCATCAGATATTAATGGGCTGCCATAATGTCTGACAAAAACGTTAGCAAGAATATTTCACCTCAACTAAATAAATTGGGGCAAAGATGTGTGTGAAACAGAGAATGGATGGTCAGCCTCGTTCATCTCTGGGTGGGAGTTTCTTTTGTGTACTTTAACTCACCTTTCGCCCACTGCCTGCCAACTTGGGCCACTCCTTTCTGCATTCCACCATATTATCTCCATCGGAAAATCAAGTATAAGTCCAGCTTCTCACCAAGTGGCTGTTCAATCATCCACTAAACCCCTAAAAGAAGTAACTGCAAATTACCTATGTCACCAGATGACTGAAATGGACTGACGACTTGAGGGTGATTCTGTCTTTTTCTTTCCCTGTATCTCCTCAATTATGTCCGCAAGGGACAGTAGTTCTTCATCTTCTCTGCGGAGCCCCCATGGCATTCCATCCTAATCACTTTCTCCCCAATCCACTTCACTGTTCAGATTCTACCCCCAACCAGCCCAAATCCAACCCTGTTCAGGGATACTTCTGTTAATTCAGTAAATGATAAATCATTTTCGTTTTTGTCTTTTGCCTTCTTAGTTCTTGAGGGTTTTTTTGTTTTTGTTTTCTTCTTCCTTCAACTGGTGTCCATCTTTGGGGAGGGGTTTGGGGAGGGAGCTAAACAGACAAATAATGGGAAAGTTGTGTACAGGGGAAGAGAGCAGGATGAGAAAAAGGTGATGTATTGATAGGTCGTTTCCCTGTCTGATTTACTCCCTGTTCCAATCAGACAATGGCAGCCATTTCTGGCAATGAACAAACACCACAGGAATTGAGGGTTCAAATCAGACAGATTTACATAAATGATTTTTAACTTGATTGGTCATTAAATCTTCCATGTCAGATTTTTGTCCATAAAGCAAATCTGTATTATTTTACTTAATTTAAATCCTCGTCATATACAGGCAGGAATATACAGAATAAAATGTACAAAATGCCCAGTTATGTCTACTGGTGCAACATCTAGAAATTTAAA